GGCATTGTGTGATGTAGCTCACACAGCTGTTGGTGTGGACTAACAGTTATTATGAACTGACAGATGTTTCCAGAGGATTGTGTTCTTAAACTTTGGGGTTTGCTTTTTTAACTGCCTCTCAGATTATATTTAGTAGTTTAAATTTCTTTATTATTTCATTAAAGTATAAAAACTTCAGGTCTCATATTTATTTTCACTTGTTCTACTAATTATTTACAAAACACCTTTTGGTTGACATTTATTTTATAAATGTGTGGTATATTAAATGTCTTTAAATTTTTTTGTTTGGTTGAAATTACAGTAACTTAGATTTGCTTTATTGGGGTTTTTAAATTTTATTTTAATTACACCTTTTCCATGTCAGTGCACAGCACTTGCCCAGTCCTTTGTATTCCCTTCTCTCAATTCAATAAACAGAATGAATAATTGATTCTTGTTGTATTAGTTTGCTGAACTGGTAGCCATATCTTGACTAGAGTTTGTGAGTGGAGCATAAGGAAACAATTGTTAGTGTTCTTGAAGAAGACCATTATGCAGCTAGTCATAGGTAAGGTTAGATCCCAGAACCTGTACTTAGAAAAGCCATTGAGATAGCTCAGCAGGGCTTTTTCCAAGCCTGGTGACCTGAATTTGGTTACTAAGGACGCACATGAAGACAGCCAACTCCTGCAACAATATGTGCCCCCTCCCCCCGCCCCCAGAAATAAATAATAGGAGAAAATCTGTGTGTGCATGTATGGTACTGATAAACTGCTAATATACCCAGTGCTTAGTGTATTCCAACCCCTAGAATAAGCTACTTGATAATATCAGCACAGGTCTGTAAGGAGATGGTAATTCCCAGCTTACAGATGAGGGAGGACAGGTATGAGGCTGAGAGTTAAATTACACCTTAAGAGATGGGATTTAACTGAGACTAGTTTAGAGCTAATGCTTTCAGTCATACCATAGTCTCCCTTTAGTCTGCAGGTGGCCACTTTGGAAAAAAATCTAAATTTGTTAGTGTCACTAAAATTAAATGACATAAGATTTCAGAAGGTATGTATATAATTAAATACTTCAGTTTTCTAGAGTCTCCAGTCAAGTTACTTAGTATGTTAAAGCTGTGTCACTAATCTTAGAAGGGAACTAATAGTATCCCACCAGACATTGAACCGAGAATTGAAAAAAAAATGTGTTTGAAGAGTGATTTAAGACTTAAAAGGGATAAAGCAGACTTCAAGGTCATCCTAGTAGTCTTTATACCAAGTTCTAGGCTGGAGAGATGGTTCAGAGGTTAGAACACTGGCTGCTCTTCCAGAAGATCCAGGTTCAAATTCTCAGCACCCACATGGCAGCTCACAAGTGTCTGTCACTCCAGTCCTTTTGACTTCTGCAGTGAAATGAAAGGCTTATAGACATTCTCCAAATGTATAGACCTTGTTTAGATGCCTATGTGTTAACAAACCAACTATAGAACTTTTGAGCCCTCATGGGTTATTTAATATAAAGAAATGGTAAACAGTCTAACTCTAGAAGAAAAAGCAAGAGGTTTGTGGATTTGAACCTACCTGAGCCACATAAGGCTCTCCCTCCTCCCCGTGATAGTTTATACAGAGCGTATTGGCACTATATTTGTGTATGCTTTAAGATTCTAAATCTAAAGTGATCTTGAACTTGCTTCAGAGCGTGGTAGGCAGGAAGGAGGTAGGTTATCAGTACAATGCACTGATTATTACAACTGGTAGAAAATATCAACTAAGAAACCTGGGGTCATCTATAGCGGCTGGAGATGGAGCTTGGTGACTTCAGTACTTACCTACAAGTGTTTGTGAAGTCAATCTCAGTTCCCAGCACTAAAAGAAACGTTCTGAAGGCAATAGCTCAGCAGATAAAAGCACTTCCTTATAAGCCTGACTTCAGTCCTCGGCACTCACATAAGAAACCGGATATGGTGGTGTGGGTCTGTAATCTTGGGAAGACTGGGAAGCAGAGACAATAATCATCCGAAGGTAGCAGGCCAGCTATCCTGGAGTATGCTGTGCGGTGGCACAGATGAGACCACTCCATTTCAACAAGATGGACGGTGAGAGCTGATCCACAGAGTTGTCCACTGACATCCATATCCCTTTGCCCCAGAAAAAGAATGTGCAGATTTGCTAGAGAACTTGCCTTGTTCCACAGATCTCTGTTGTCAGTCATAGCCCTCAATTAAATAAGGTTCAGTCCAGTCTGTGGAATAAGCAGGCCCAGAGGTAGATCAGTTCCAGAGATGTCAAGGAAACTTCTCGCAGTTGGATCCATGTTCTCTTCCTCAGAATGAGCAGTGTGAAGCTAGCTTTGGGAATGAACAAAACGCCTTTGTTCAAGTGCCAACCACAAGTAAATGGTTAGGGGGTAATGGATGTAAGGTGAGGTCAAGTCCCCTCAGTTGACATCACAGATCCCAGGGAGTGGGCTGTGTGGAAGAGATGTCAGGAGAGTCATGGAATAGTAGCTCAATCTTACATACCAGTGCTGGGTGTATAGCTCAGTTGTAGAATACTTACGTGTGCAAGGCCCTGGGTTCATTGCCTACCAATGCAGAAACAAAAACTTAACCTTCCACTCTGATACAGAGAGGAACTTAAGGTTGGAGAGAGAGATAGTGGTTGAGAGCACTGACTGCACTCCCAGAGGACCTGGGTTCAATTTCCAGCACACACACCTGTCTGTAACTCCAGTTCCGGGGAATCTAACACCATACCAGATGCACATAAAGTTAAATACTTTTAAAAAAAAAAAAAAGAAAAAGAAAACAGGAACTTAGCATATTTGAGCAGTGTAGCTTAAGCAGGCCTTGAAGCAGTGCTGCCTCCGCCTCTGGAGTGCTGAGATTACAGGTGTCCACCTCCTCCACTAGCTTTTAAATCAGCACACATTTTCACTAGGTTCTAATATTTAGTGGAAACTGATACATAAGTGGGACCCAAGATAAAAAAAAATGCCATTTGAACAGATATGGCAGAGATTGACAACAGGAAGCCAAACCTCTGCTTCAGTAAGTGAACTGTATTCACCCACCTATCACCCTCTTCTGCACCCAGCCTCACAGGGAGCACATGAAAAGCTGTCTTTCTAACTGAAATGACCTTTCTGAAAAGCATCCTGAGTGTAGTACCAAATTAGTGCTGTGACTGATGTGGTAACTACAGTTGAGGCACTACAGTTGAGGCTTTGAATGACCAAGTCATTAGCTAGCTTCCTGCCTTTTAAGATATTTGAGAAAAGTAGGCTAAATCCAAAGGCTTCACTGGAAATCTTCAAGGACAGACATATTTTGAACAGCCTTCCTAACCAACTTTACTACATCAAAAATATTTCAATCTGTTCTACTACAGGCTATGCCTGGTTTAAAGGACAAAGTGTGGGATGTAGCTTGGTTGATACTGAGTTCTAGACCAGTCGAGGACACAGGAGATCCTATTAAAATGAATGAATGGTCTAGGGAAATGACTCTCCAGTTAAGAACTGGCTGTTTTGGAGGACATGGGTTTGATTTTCAGTACTCCAGTTCCAGGGGATCTGATGTCCTCTTCTGGCTTCTAGGGGCACTGCACACTTGCAGTGCACAGACATGCAATCAGGCCAAACACCTATACATATAAAAACATTTAAAAAAAGAGAAAATCTCCGATTGCTGACCCTAGATGGCAAACATAATTTCAAATTCTACCCTTCTGTGGTATTGGAGATGAAACCTATAACCGTGCTCATGCTGGAAAATTGCACTAACACTGAGCCACACCCCAATTCAGCCTATTTCTGTTACTATCATCATTATTGTTTTTTCAAGACAGGATTTCTCTGTGTAGTCCTGTTTATCCTGGAACTCACTCTGTACACCAGACTGGCCTTAAACTCAGAAATCCACCTGCTTCTGACTCCAGAGTGCTCAGATTAAAAGCATGCACCAGCACTGCCCGGCTACTTCTGCATTATTAAAACAAGTTTATCTAGATATTGGAGAGAGATAGTTACACCTAGTATGTGATAATGCATAATCTGATAAAATATTACTTGTAAGCAAAATTAATTTCAGCAGACTGAAGTAAATCCAATACAACAGTTTCCCTTATAAGCCCAGAAGATCTTACAATACTTCTAGTGTGCAGCACATTATTGGGCTGGTGACATGGCTTAGTAGTTAAGAGCACTGGCTACTCTTCAAGAGAACCAGAGAAAACTCCCAGTACTTACATGGCAGCTTGCAACTGTCTGTAACTCCAGTTGCAGGGGACCTGACACCCTCACAAAAACATACATACAAGCTAGACAATCAATATGTCATTTTAGAAAAAGAATACTTCTAAAGTTAACTGCCTTGAAAAAAGAGAAAGATAGTGGTGGGCTTTGATTCTGCTGTTCCATTGCTGCTTCTCTGAATTAAAGGACATCAATCAGACTTCTTAATGAAAGAGCAATAGAACAACACAATCAGATTAGCTTGTTATTCAATAGCCATTTATTGTTTCTGTGTGCAAGGCACTGTATCAGGCGCCAGGAAAGGAAGACAACACAAACATGACCAGAGTGGACTCTGCTCTCCAGGAGCGCACAATCTAGAATGAGACCAATTGCATACAAGTGACAGCATATGGAAAGTTGTGAGCACTTCTTCCCAGGAGACAGTACAGAGGTTTAAAGTTAGACCACATCAGAGGGAGGCCTCTGGGTTCTTGCTACATTCTCCCCTTGAGTAGCAGGCATGAAAAGGGATATGACCCAGCATAGACGCACCCAATGGTAGTCTGCACTGGCCAGGCCCTCAACACTAAAGCTTTTACAGCGGGCACAGGAAGACAGGAACTGAACTAGAGTTCAGAGGTCCACACTCTGAGACCTCTGTCTCCATCTTGGAGATGAGAATGCTAGAATGTAGAGCCTCACCGGTCCCCTGCAACGCTCATCACTGTACAGCAGCACTGTAGGCACAACCACTTAGGGCCAGAGCTTGCATCCTCATTTTCAGGGTTTATAGAAAACACCCCTCTCCAAAAATTCCAGAGGAATGATTCTCCCAACCCCTTCCTGGCTTTGATATACACAAGCAATATGAGAAACAAAGGGTTTTGTCTGTAACTAGTGTTTGAGAACAAAGTTTGGTTATTAAAGACTAGGCAGCTTGTGCTGGCAGACAAGTGACAGCCCAAGGGTGCTCCACTAATTGCTTTCAGTTTGGGTGAAGACTACTTGGAGAAGACGAAACATTTTAGCCCAAAGCCCTTCACTACCTTGGAGCCACTTGAAGTACGACAGCCTGTCTCAGTTCTATGAATTCTCCAACAGTTCTGCTTGTGAAGCTTGAGTAACACTGACAGGCAATGGCAGGTGGGCTGTTAAGCAGAAGGTATCTCAGGGAGAAAAGTAAGAAAAAGGTAAACACAAAAGTAACTGTAACAATGTTACAGCTTCTTAGCCTGTTCCCAGGCTGAAACACAAGATTACTGTTGGGGGAGAATTTCCATGATTTCAAAGTCCCAAAGATCCGAATTTATTTTGCATGCCATCCCAAATCCTTTTGTCCAGTGTAGACAGAGCACCTCTCTCATTCTAACAGGGAATCTCACTTCCTGGCTGTCTTGCTTCTACCAATTCTCACTCAGTAAGACAGGCAACATTTAAACATTTAATCTTCTGGGAAACCGCACACTGTTTTGCCACCAAGGTTCATCATGCCAAAGTTAACAGTCATGTTTTCTTAAATATCAGTGCTTAAGATACCAACATTAAAGTGCAAATAGGACTGAGGAAGAGTTGCCAGATTCACGCTACACTGCAAGATATGATAAACAGAGTAGGAAGTTAATTGCTTCTGCCTGAGCCAGAGTTTAAAGAGGGCTTAGGTACTGCCGTGTGCATGCAGTGGCTTGTACTGGGTTTCCCAATCAGGCAGAAGAAAAGGAGGTGAGATTAATTCTGCACCAAGTGAGCACTCACAGGTTGTTTCACTAACAATGACCAACCAGTTTCCTAATTCTGAGTGACTTCTACCAAATCACCTCTCCAAACCCATTAAAACATATTACTAGAGATGAAATACAAATGGAACAATTATGATGTCAGAGGGTGGGGAGGGAATCATGTAGATATAAGCTTTAAAATGAAAGCTCTTGATAAAATCTTGATTTTAAAATTTATTTTTCCTTTATATGCAGGAATTACATTGTACCTGGGCACATGCCTTATAAGGTTTTAAATACTGCAAAGAAATATATTTTAAAATGTCATTTTCTGTTGAAAGGCTTAGCTGAAAAGTCCTCAAAATCCTTAAGCCACATTAACATGAAGTTGCCACAATATAAAGAAGGGGTAATTAACTTTCTTCTTTTCTCCAGGTTTGTATTGCTCTCTGCTCTGGCTTTTCAGACTTCAAGACAACCCAGCTCATTTAGTAAGGGCTCTTTTAGGTGTGTCCTTTATCTCTTTGGCATGCAAAACTGGCACACATTCCTACCTCTACCAAACAGCCACAAAGGACACGAAACACCTTCATGAACGAGAAATCTACAAAAACTCAATTCATTTTTTGTAAATACTTTATGTGGTAAAAATACAGCAAAAATAGGTTTTTTTTTTTTTTTTTTTTGTTCAAAGACCAAAATATATACTGCTATGGTCATGGTTTTAAGGGTGGTTTAAGTCGTCTCTGGCTCCTCAGTTGTGCAGTGTAGTGTAGGTTGGCTTCAACCCCGACTTCTCCAGCTTCAGTCATTTATCAAAGCTAGAATCATACTGTGGAAAGAAGAACTGGAATTACTAACGTTTCGTTAGGACTCTCCTGGAATCCAGTCTATTCAGCCCTGCATCCCCCAGGCTCACTCACTGCAGTCACTTAAACCTAATAGCAATACTCAGATAAAAGCTTCTAATGTTTTCACTAAAATAGAACAAACTGAGATAAGAGGAAGAAAGTAAAATCTAAAACCAATTTGGTATTGTCATTAAAAAATAAGTAGGGGCTAGAGAGACGGCTCAGCAGCTAAGAACACTTCGCTCTTCAGAGGACCCATGTCAGGTGGCTGACAACAGTTACTTGTAACTCCAGTTTCAGGGGACCCAGTGCCTCTGGCCTCCAAGGGCACCTGCACTCACATGCACATATCCACATGCACAAGCACTCACACACACTAAAAATAACAATAAACTCTTTACAAATAAAATATGGCCAGGCACATGCCTTTAATCCCAGCACTGAGGAGGCAGAAGAAGGCGATCTCTGAGTTAGAAGCCAGCCTGGCCTACAAACTGAGTTCCAGGACAGTCAAGACTTATACAGAGAAACCCTGTTTCAAATAAATAAATAAATAGATAGATAGATAGATAGATAGATAGATAGATAGATAGATAAATAGATAAATAAATAAATAAAAAAGCTAAGGCCAGTCAAAAACCACCACCACCAACCACACACGTTAACTCCCTATCCAGATGTCTGCCTTGTGCAGAGTCCCAGCAGTCTGCTATTACCCCAGTAGCTTCTATTCACAAGGAGCCTTAGAAGCACCTCCTTTGGGAAGCTGACCTTGTTCATGCTCCTGTGTGGTCTGGCTTGCAAGCTAGTAGTGATTAGTGAGCTGTGAGGACAGCAAGACCCAGGCCCCCTTCTTTCATTCTGTATACTACTCCAGACTGTAACTGCCAACCTCAAAGCTTTCACACAGGAATCTATGTGACATAAAGACAGGAAATACTCAAGAAAATCACAATGAAATATAATCCTTCCCTTCAATGACAGGGATCAACCTCACTCTTGAACAACTGATCAAGATCAATCTTGATCAACAGACCAAAACTACTGCAATGCTCAGAAATAACCTTGGTGTTACTAACAAATAGGCATATCAAACTTACTCAGTATACAGTGCAGATTAAAGGTAGTCGCAAATATTTGAAAAGATTTTTGAATTTACTATAGGTAATAAACTTAGGCACTTTACATGCACTTCATTCATGCTATAATCCATTAGGTAAATTAGTAACAGCCCATTTCAGATGAAAACCCAAAGCACACAGAGGCTAAGAAGCACTTCCCAAATCTCACCCTAGGTAGTAGAGCCCAGATCCCACTAGGTGAGCACCTTGACCTACAAGCCAAAGGCCCACTGGGCTCCACCATTCTTTAAACATGGGAATATTTTTTTCCAAAACTTTAATTCCATTAAACAATCCCTGAATGCCTGCTACTGTAGCAGATGTGAGAAGCATAAATCCCCTGAAATAAAAGCTGATTAATTGGTAGTACAATCACTTTTGAACAAAAGCATCCACTCCAACCCTTTCAACTATGAATGACATTCAGAGGTAAAGCAACAACGATGTGGCTAAAAATGACAAGATTTTAAGCTAACAAGGGGAAAGGAAGGATAGAAAAGGGGAGAGCACTCTAGACAAGAGTCACACAGGCTCTAAAGAATTACATCTTAAACCTGCCCCTAAAATACTACTTCCACTTTTTTGTTTTCTTATTTGTTTGTTTTGGGTCTTTTGTTTGTTTTTCTTTTCAGTTCAGGGTTTCTCTGTGTAACAACCCTGGCTGTTCTGGAACTTGGTGTGAGGACGAATTCATAGACATCACCTTCCTCTGCCTCCCGAGTGCTGGGATTAAAATTGTGAGCCACCACTGCCCTTGTTTTCTTGTTTTTGAAATAGTATCTTGCTATAACTACTAAGTAGTCCTGAATGGTCCTGAATTTGTGATTCTGCTGTCTCAGCCTCTCAAAGGCAAGGATTATATTTATTATGTATACAGTGTTCTGCCTGCATGTACACCTGCAGGCCAGAAGGGGGAACCAGATCTCATAGATGGTTGTGAGCCATCATGTGGTTGCTGGGACTTGAACTCAGGACTTCTGGAAGAGCAGCCAGTGCTCTTAACCTCTGAGCCATTTCTCCAGCCCAAGGCAAGGATTATAGATGTGCAACACTATTCCTGGCTAAAATAATGGTTTTTAAAAAACCCGTATCTTGGAGCTGGAGACATGGTTCAGTGCTTAAGAGCACTTCTTGCTCTTGCAGGAACCCAGTTTCAGTTCCCAACACCTATATGGCAGCTCCTAACTGTAACTCAAGTTCTAGGGGATCTGAAGCCTTCTTCTGAGCTCTAGAGCACCAGGCACAAATGTGGTACTCAAGCATAAAAGCAGGCAAAACACCACACACATAAAACTACAATAACTGAAAACCAAAACCAAACTATTATCTTCCCAGAAACAGAGGTTCACACCTATAATACCAGCACTACGGAGATGAGATAAGAGGATTGCCTTAAGTTCTAGGCCTGACTGGACCACACAGTGAGTTCTAGGATAGCCAGGATTACACAGCAAGATCCGGTCTTAACCAAAACAAACAAACAAAAACCTACAAACAAGCACTTTAAAATGTTTTACTTAATGAGTTGTTTGTTTTTTTGACTGCATCTATGTCTGTGCACCAGGTGCCCACAGAGATGAAGCCCAAGCTAGAGATGGAGATGAACCACCGTGAGGGGCTGGGACTCGAACCTGGATCCTCTGAAAGAGCCGGGGCTCTTAACCACTGAGCCATCTCTCCAACTCCCTTTTTCTATTCTCCTCCCCCCCCCCTTTTTTGTTGAGAGAGGATCATACCATGTTGTCCTGGCTGGTCTGAACTCACGATGTAGGCCAACTCAGAGATCTGTCTGCCTTTGCCTTCTGAGTGCTGAAGTTAAAAGCATATAACACCATGCTAATACTATGCCTGGCAGAACAAGAGTTTCTTTTTTTTTTTTAATTTTATTTATTATGCATCCAATATTCTGTCTGTGTGTATGTCTGCAGGCCACAAGAGGGCACCAGACCTCATTACAGATGGTTGTGAGCCACCATGTGGTTGCCAGGGATTGAACTCAGGACCTTTGGAAGAGCAGGCAATGCTCTTAACCGCTGAGCCATCTCTCCAGCCCCCCAGAACAAGAGTTTCTAATCATTAGGAACACACACACACACACACACACTTCCATAGCTTTTTGTAATGGAACTGTGAAAACTCTTAGCTAGATTCTAAGAAGATGAATAGCAATGGCAGTTTTAGAACCTGTTAATAGCCTCAACAGCGAAGGAATAGCCTAGGTATTATAGAAACCTCTTTTAGGTTAGATAGAACACTAAATTAATGACATACATAAAAAAATCTCCGCAGACACAATAAATTCACATAATCCCCCCAAAGTTTTACAATGCCAGTACAAAATCTTACAGTATAATAATACCTCATGAACCAAAACAGCATCCAGTATGCTGTAAAAAGGACTCTAAAGTTACCTGTAGAGATACATGAAGAAACAGAGCAGGTAGAAACCAAGCTTGATCATGGCTTCTTTCATGTGTGACTTTAACTGCCCCCGATTGTGTATTTCTGTTGGATCAAACACTCCCATATTACCACTTGGCACCATAATGAACCTGATAAAAGATACATACATTAGAAGGAAATTAAATCTCAGCGTGAATACTGAAAAACAGTAATCAACTTGCAAATGTAGACCAGTCCTTGCAGCCTTAAATCCAAACAAAACAGAGCAGTATAATGATATCTTGGGCTACCATTTGGTTTTCCTTTTTTCATTTAATTTTCTACCCACTAAAACAAATGTAGTAATAATACCTAGTAAATTTTGATAACTTTTTTTTAATTATTTATTTATTATGTATAGAATATCCTGTCTACATGTATGCCTGCACGCCAGAAGAGGGCACTAGACCTCATTACAGATGGTTGTGAGCCACCATGTGGTTGCTGGGAATTGAACTCAGAACCTTTGGAAGAGCAGGCAATGCTCTTAACCACTGAGCCATCTCTCCAGCCCAATTCTGAGAACTTTTAACACATCATCTGTCTCTCTTTAGCTCTTTCTCATTAGATATAAGTTAAAAGAGGTTCCAAAACCAAATTAATGTTTTAAAGTTCTCAGAAGCTTCTTAGGGTTTTTTTGTGTTTGTGTGTGTAATGTACATGTGGAGGCCAAAGGTTGACATCAGGTACTTTCTTCAATTGCTCTCCACATTCTGTATCAAAGTAGGGTTTTTTTTTAATATTTATTTATTTATTATGTATACAATATTCTTTCTGCATGCATGCCTGAAGGCTTGAAGAGGGCACCAGACCTCATTACAGATGGTTGTGAGCCACCATGTGGTTGCTGGGAATTGAACTCAGGACCTTTGGAAGAGCAGGCAATGCTCTTAACAGCTGAGACATCTCTCCAGCCCAAAGTAGGGTTTCTTGCCTGAACCTAGAACTCTCTAATTCAGCGGATAGCCAGCTTGTTCCAGGGATCACGTGCCTCCACCTGAGAGTCAGGATTACAGGCAGGCCCAGGCCAACATGCCCACCTGTTATTCATTTGAGTGCTGAGATCTCAATTTCAGCCGTCATGCTTGCATTTTGACCACAGAGTCATCTCCCTAGCCCCTGTTTTTCAGACAGGGTCCCACTCTGTTGCTCAAACTGGCCTCTAACTCACTATACAATCAGTCTAGCTTTGAACCCGAGGATTATTCTTTCCCAGCTTCTTGAGTGCCGAAATTCCAGGTATGTATCACCACACCTGGCTCTCAGAAACGTGTTACGTAAACTGAGAAGGAAAACTATGCAAGAACAGACGCTTATGCCTACACTTCATCCAGACCATGTCACGTGTGCAATACACGTCTGAACCCAGCCCCATAAACAGCCTCTTCCTGCTTGCACGTCCAGGCTTCTTGCTTCTGTTGGTCTTGCCACATACAGTTTCTCAATGTCATTTCTGTGAAATGTAAAAGCCTCTCTGAGCTTCACAAGATTTAAACTCTCCCCTAAATCCTACTGGCCTAACCATACCTGAATAAATACCTACAAAAAGCTTCCAAAAGATTACAATTTAGAATTCCATTACCTAGTTCCTTGGTGATCCTTAAGGTTTTTTCCAACCCCAGTTCTTGCTCTCTCATCTTATACAGCCAGCATACTGAATTCCTGTCTTTTGTTACCCTTTATAAGATCTCTCTTTTTCATTCCCACTAATACAACCCTTTTCCAACAAAATGTTCTCTTCTCCGTTCTCTGAACTGAATTCTCATTATCCTGGCCCTTCTCTATTCTATACTCATGAAACTTCTCTATTCAATACATTCTGCTTATGAAAAGTCTCCCTCAAGTTACTTAAAAACATAAAATGTGGGGTGCACATGTGACTCAGTGGAACAGCTTTTTCCCATCATACACAAAATCCTGAGTTTAGCTGGTTGTGGTGGGCATACCTTCAACCCCAGATTGGGGGGAAAAAAAGAGTGCTTATACAAGCTACAAATAAACTTTGACATGCTAAGAGACCAGTCAGAAAAGACTGTGGACTCCTCTTTATATGTGTCTTTCCAGAATCTGTAAATGTAGCAGTCAAGTAGATAGGGCTGTGGATGAAATTCGGTTGGCAGAGTGCTTGCCTAGGTTGCACAAAGCTCTGGGTTTGGTCCCCAGCACTAGTACATGCCTGATACCTCACCACTTGGGAGGCAGAGGTGAGAGAGATTCAAGGACATCCCTCATCTACTTTGCAGCTAGTTTCATGTCAACATGACTGCCTCAGGATCGCTAGTGCTGATGAAACACCATAACCAAAAGCAACTTGGAGAAGAAAGAGTTTATTTGGCTTATCCTTCCATATCACAGTTCATCAATGAAGTGAGTCAGGGAAGGAACTCAAGCTGAGCAGGAACCTGGAGGCAGAAGCTGATGCAGAGGCCATGGAGGAGTGCCACTTTCTGGCTTGCTCAACTTGCTTTCTTATAGAACTCAGGACCACCAGTCCAGCGGTGTACCCATCCACAATGGGCCCTCCCCCACAAATTACTAATTTTAAAAGATGACCCACAGGCTTGCCTGCCTTTGGCCTGATCTTACAGAGACATTTTTCCCCCTCTGAGACAGGGTTTCTCTGTATAGTCCTGGATGTCTGGAACTAGCTCTGTAGACAAGGCTGGCCTCAAACTCACAGAGATCTGCCTGCCTGTCTCCAGAGTGCTGGGATTAAAGGTGTGTGTCCCAATTACCTGGCTGATGAATTTTTTTCAGTTGAGGTTCTGTCTTCTCAGATGACTTTAGCTCGTGTCAAGTTAACATAAAACTAGATGGTACACTGATACGAGATAGTCATTTCGGAAGAAGGAACGTCAGTTGAGAAATGGCCCCAGATTGGCCTGTGGTGCATTTTCTTGACTAATGATGTGGGAGGCTGGTCCAGGGAAAGCAAGCCAGTAGACAGCACTCCTCCCTGACTTCTCCATTAGTTCCTGCCTCGGCTATGGAAAAGTTGGCCAGTCTTTTTTTCTATATTATTTAATCTGTACTGCAAAAACAAACAAAAACCTCAAAATAAACAAACAAAAAAATCCCAAACACAAATTGTGTACTTTGCAGGTACTAAAATGCAATTTTCTTTATTTCCAGTATTATAAAGACAAATAAAAGGCCTTATTTTCTCAAGCCTTCGACTATTCTTAGAAGAAAAGGATTTGAGACAGGGTTTCTCTGTGTAACCCTGGTTGTCCTAGAACTCACTCCGTAGACCAGATTGGCCTCAAACTCAGAGATCAACCCGCCTCTGCCTCCCAAATGCTGGGATTAAAGGCGTGTGCTACCACCACTCAACTAGATTGCTGTGGAAATGTACAGCAGTGACAACTAGTGTTTAACAAGCCAACTCCCTTGGCAAACTGTAGGGTTATTGACAGTGGATAACTAGTTGTTCCTGTCCGTGGTTTTCTCGGGTACCACTGCTATGCCTCCCTAATAAGAACAGTTGTGGGGTTCTTTCCACAGCCCTTTGGTGGTGTGTTTTATACTTATTGGGCACACATAGCTATGAATAGTCAGGAAGATGATCCTAATGAATAGAAATAATACTAGGATACTTTACATTACTCACACTGACAAAGGATTCTCAGTCACAAAGACAGTCTTTTACATAGATAAGCTAACTTTAGAGCAGATTCAAAGCAGGCTGGTTGGCCCTAGAGACATATACGCAAGGTCATTTTTCCATGAGTTGCTTTACTGATTCAACAGCAGAACTTGAAGCAACTTTAGACTGTATTTCCTCCCCAACCTCAAAGTTCAGCCAATTGTTTACTGTCTGGGAACTCTCACCAACTGAGAGCTATGTGTAGGGCCATGGTTGCTCACTGTCCAGTCATTGTGACATTCCTAGCCTGAGAGAAACTACGTGACTTATCTTGGGTTTTGGGAAGAGGGGTCAGGCCCTAAAAATGTAACTTTATTGTCCAGAGTTTAGGTGTGAGAAGGCAGTGGAGGCAGAGAAGGAGTGGCGAGGCAGAGACATGCAGAAGAGGCTGCTGTGGGAGAGAGAAGTGTGAGAAATGAAGAAGCGTGAGACGCCAGGTGGGCAGTGGTGGCGCACGCCTTTAATCCCAGCACTCTGGAAGCAGACAGGTGGATCTCTGTGAGTTTGAGGTCAGCTTGGTCTATAAGAGCTAGTTCCAGGATAGATTCCAAAGCTACAAAGAAACCCTGTCTCGAAAAACCAAAACAAAAAAAAAAAAAAAAAAAAAAGAAGCATGAGAGAAGTATGAGAGAATGAATGAACGATAAAGAAGTATGTGTGAGGAAGAAAGAGCTATGTGTGGGAGCTGCTGCTCCATAGAGGAGCTGCGCCTAGGATCTGTCCAAAGTGCTGTATGGGAAGAGGATATGTAAATGAGATGTCTAACTATGTCTGTGAGGAGATTTGTAACTGTGTGGAGGCAAGGAAAATGAAGCTGTATAGAAAAGAGATGAAGAAGAAAAATGTATGTAAAAGATATGCAGTCATGTGATAGAGATATTATAACTGAATACTGAAATACATAACTGAGCAGGAGAGATATGTATGTATGTAAGAGATTAGCAACAGATTAAGTAAGAGATTAGCTACCATCAGGAAAGTGTGTGTTTGTTCCTTTTTTCTTAGGTTACCAGCAGAAAGCATGTTTCCTTAATTTACCCCCAGATAGAAAAGTCTAGCCCATGCCTCCTTGGTGGATTTTCCCAATACCCTGGTGCTGACTGGGAACTGCCCCCCAAAGTTAGCAACAGATCGCTCTTAAACATGTGACTGAGTCATGCGAACTACTATCTGTCCAATATACCAGATTAAACAATGATTTATTCTGATTTCATAAGTACTTTGTTGTTCTTTATTTTATTCACTGGGATATTTTGTGGGGGAAATGCTCTTAATTATTTTCTTTTATCTAGGATTTCATGTAGTCTAGGATGTCTTCAAACTCACTAAATGGCAAAGCTAGACTCCAAACTCCTGATCCTCCTAATTCTTCTTCCCAAATGTTGGGATTACTGCCAGACATGCACCACCAGGCCCAGCTGTTAGTTTCTTAAGAACTACTGTCACAAAATGGTAACAAACTATACTTACCTATATATATTCCAAGTGGCAACAGGTAAGTTGAGAAGGAAGATGAACCAGTGCAAGGAAACAAGCATGAGCACAGTGACTAGGGCGTGGCCAACCACCTCTGGTATCACCCACTGCAAGTGAAGAACAAGGCATTACACCTCTGACCCACCTTTCCTGTCTGCACGTGACACGGAAGCTAAACTGATGAACGTGCAGAGAATTTTTAGCTTAGACTCAGAAACCCCAGACAGGGCTATAACCTCCTACCCTAGGCAAATATGTCAGTTAACAGCTTTAAAATGAAATCTTTATGTCTCAGTTCTATTTCACCCTAAGCAAAGTCTCAGACCCGTCCATAAGCCAGTCTGAACACTTCAGGAAGAAGCAGAGTAATACTCACCTTCTATCCCAGCATCTATGCCAATATGCTAAAGTCTCCTGCTCTAAATTAGTGTGGTTCATATCCATACACATGCCTTTTCAGTTAGAATGTTCATCTTCAAATATTTCCCCATTCCTCACCCACCCTGCAGAAAAATTCCTCATCTCCATTTTCCCAAGGAAGCAAATGCCAAGCAAATGCCATTCAGAAAGATAAGATTAAAATAATTAGCAGGTGTAATGATAAGTGCCTGTGATCCCAGCACTAGGAAGGCAGGGGAAATCACTGCAAATTCAAGGCCAGCCAGAGCTACCTAGTGAGGTGCTTCCTCCAAAAGAAGAACAGAAGTTTTAAGTAGAGGTTGGTGAGATGGTTCAAAAGTTAGTGCGCTGGCTGCTCTTAGAGGGCCTGAATCTGTTTCCTAGCAGCCATAGGGAATGCCCACAGCTGCCTATAACTCTGAGGGGACGCCTCTTCTGGCCTCCTCAGGCACCTGCACACATGTGGCATGGACTCACATAGACACATAAATAAAAGCATAATTTTTTTTTAAATCAGGGGAGAGGGCGAACGTGGTCCCTCACTACCACAAATTATGCAGTCGAATTTCCTACATTTGGAGAAATCTCAGGGGCCAGCACAACCAGAGTGCAATGGATAAGCCTTGCCCTGGAACACCACCTTCATGATCATGGTATCTCCCCTGACAGGTAAGTATATAAATCACTTTTTAAATTATTAAAAAAAATTGGACTGGAGAGATGGCACAGTGACTAAGAGTTCATCCTTACCAGCAGGTGGCCGGTAATCACATCAGGTAGATCACAACCCCATATAACTCAAACCCCTGTGGGAACTGACATCTCTAGCCTCAGCAGGCACCTGTACTCACTACCACATACGGACATACACATAAACATAACTAAAAATAAAAGGGTATTAACTTGAATAGCAATGGATGACAGAAGATTACTAAGCAATGTCTTTAAAAGTCAGAAAGAAAAAATCTTGCCACACTATAACCCCGTACTCAGAGAATCAAGGATTCAAGTAAGATATGTTCAAACATTTCAGAACTCCAATTCCTACATGTTGGCTGTACCTCAAGAAGCTACTCCCCCAAAATGAAGTTGTAACCAAGAAGGAAGACACAAGATTCAAGAATCAGGGGCTCCACAACCAAATGAGACCTATGAAACAGCCTCAGAACAGCCAATTAGAGGGCAGAATGACATGCTGGCCTGAAAAAGAAATGGTTCGGGGCGGGGCAGGGAGGGGGAAATGGGGGACTGATACATCCTTTTAATCTTTTACTAATTCATTTTGGGGGAAAGAAAGTAGAAGGGGTCTTGCTATGAAGCCCAGGATGGCCTCAAAATCATGGCAGAATTCTGGCCTCAGCCTCCTAAATACTGCCATTACAGGTACTGACTACCACAACCAGCATGATACCGTGTAGAGAATAGTATCAAAGGGCGGTAAACAGAAAACTAAGGAAATAAGAAATGTGACAATTATTCCGCCCTACACACACACACACACACACACACACACACACCTTTTTCTCTTTTTTTTCCCTTTGTTCGTTTGTTTGTTTTTGAGACAGGGTTTCTCTGTGTAGCCCTGGCTATCCTGAATACACTCTGCAGCACCTCAAACTCTGCCTGCCTCTGCCTGCTGAGTGCTGGGATTAAAGATGTGCACCACTACAGGGGTGGGAGGTGGGAGTCTAAGGGACATACTATCACTGTCTACTCTGAGGCTCAGCAATGAAGATTTATATTTTTAGAAGAGTAGATCGTAATGACACAAATACTGAAACATCAACTTACTCTGAAAAGAAAAGAAGATGGTACAGCAAGCCAGGTATGGCACAACAGCAGTAAAAATGAGGAAGCAGGTGTTTTCAGTAAGGGAATAACTAACAACCAACTCCTTTGAACCTTGTTTTTTCAATAGACTTAAGATACGAAGTAACATGGGCACTGCTTTTTAAGTCAAGCAAAAAGTGCCCCTCAATATATTTTTACATGAAATTTTATCCAGAAAGCTTCTTTGTCCAGCTCGTAAAATGGATCAGGAACAAATGGTTTTCCCCTATCTAAACTCCCCACTTAGAGGACTTATGTCAATATAAGTTATTATACTAAATATGAAATGGCCTTCAAACAAACTAACCAAGTCCATTTTTCCCCACAAACCACACAAGAAAGACCTTCCACTCAACAAAAGGCAGACTGAACATTTGCTCCATGAGTGGGAGGTGGCAGTACGGGCACAGAAAACAGAACAATCAGCCTCATGTAGACAAGACCAGAAACATGCATAGTAAGAAACAATATTTAAAATCAGATCTAGCATAATTCCATGATCTAAAATACTGTAAAACACAGCAGTTCTAGCTACAACATTACATTGAATAGCTAGGCAATGTCTTACCTTGTTTAATTTTGAGCAACATGATCTAGCATTAATGTAATCACATTCTAAATCAGACAATGTTATGATCTGATGGTTACGATAAGGAATTATATACATAATTCTTGTGTTTGTACAGTCTATGTATGTGCACATGTATGCACCAGAAGTTAGTGCTGGCAATCTTCTACTTCTGTCCACCCTGGTTTTAGTCTCTGACTAAACCTGAAACTTGTTGTTTGACTAGACTGGCCAGTAAGCCCCTGGGACCTTTCTGCTTCCACTTTCCCCAGTGCTGGGGAGCAGAACTAGGTCCTTTCACAACAGGCACTTACCCTAATGAGCCGTCTGTCAGGAGCACACAGACTTCCTGTTTGACAACCAAGCATTATATATGTTTCAGAAAGCAATTCCAGCACTCAGGAGACTAGTGGATTAGAAGTTCAAGGCCACCCTCACCTACATAGTGAATTTGGATATCAAGGGCATCACAGGATACAATTAACACTCTCAAAAAAAAAAAGGTAAAATTTAGTAAAAAGTAAAATGTTTTCAATCAAATATCACCTCTTCATCACTTTCCCCACAAATTCATAACCAGACAATGCCAATACCACAATTAACACTATAGTTCAAATTCAGAAGAACCTCTTCCCAATAGTTTTATCTCCCAAACTCTCCTAGCTTGAATTTACTCTGCAGATTCAGCTTCTTAAAAAACTGTTGTGTTTTGAGCTTCTAAAATAACAGAATTGCATGTGTTTATCATATATAACATGTTTCAAATAATATATACATTGTAGAATGATACAACCTAGCCAGGCAGGATGCATTATCTCACATGGTTACTTCTGTGGTAAAAAGCATGCAACTTTCAGTCTTCCAATTTTTCACAAACAGGATACATTGTTAACTGCGGTCACCATACGAATGTATTTCCCTACTCTCTTGGTCCAGCACCTTATCTGTTCTATGGAGGTGCTCCACCATTGAGCCACACCCCCAGATCAACAAGAGATCGCTGGAACTTTTTCTAGCAGAAATTGTGTATCTTTGACCTAAAGCACTTCCTTAAGTCAAAAGTTTGCAGTGACTCACTACTGCCCTCCTCATTTATCTGATCTAACTTCCTTCCCTACCTGATTTCTTGCTACAGCCTAAAGCAACCATGGTGCTCTATAACTATCACCCAGAAATGAACATGCCTGCCCTGCACCTTGCTCTGGCCAGTGACTGTAAATATCTGTCCCCTTTTTCCTGCAGGTTTCTTCACTACTCAAACTCCCCACACTCCTATAGTCTATATAGTCCATGAAGTCTATTCTGACCATTCTCCAACTATTCTCTGTCACACTATTACTGTAACTATCCTACAACACAGTAATGTGTTCTCACCAAAATGCACCCTGAATGTGTAACCAATGTTAAACATTCCAGTTAACATATACATACTACATGATCTGGTATAGACCAAGACTGTTTTAGATGATCAAATCTAGTTTTCCAAACTGCAATAATAATAATAATAATAATAATAATAAAGCATTTCAGATTGTCCAACAACTCTGGTTTCTTTTATCACAAGCTAAGCAGTGGTCATCAGAACTTCAGCAAGAGATGTTTGCCCTTTTAGTCAGTTCCTCAAAGGTAATAAAACACAGGGCTCTTTTTATTAGAAATCATCAAAGTAAAAACTGATGCTAAATAAATGCAATAGGGCAGACACTGCTGGGTGTTTAACACAAGTTCTCATTGTGTGTATCTAGGAAACAAACATGTCCAATCCTAAAGAAGCGGGTAAGAGACAGTGAAGAGCAATGATTTCTAATTCCAAATTTTGTCCCTTCCTATTAAAACAGTCAGTTCACAACAAAGTGGAAAATATACTCTGTGCTGCTATCCTAAAGTTGCACAAGGCCAAAAAAAGAGGTTAAATTTGATCAGAAAAAGGGACATGATTTTGAAGGAAAAAGGGTAACATGCAAAAATCCTAATGCACTTTTCTAGTCATAGTTAATTACTTAAAACTGGCCTGTGGGCTGGGCTGTGGTGGTGCACGCCTTTAATCCCAGCACTTGGGAGGCAGAGGCAGGCAGATCTCTGTGAGTTCGAGGCCAGCCTGGTCTACAAGAGCTAGTTCCAGGACAGGCTCCAAAACCACAGAGAAACCCTGTCTCGAAAATAATAAAATAATAATAATAATAATAATAATAATAATAATCCCGGCACTTGGAAGGCAGAGGCAGGCAGATCTCTGCGAGTTCGAGGCCAGACTGGTCCACAAAACTAGTTCCAGGACAGGCTCCAAAACTATAGAAAAACCCTGTCTCGAGAAAGAAAACAACAACTGGACTGTGTATTACACTACAGCACTACAACACTGTGCTGTAGCACTGTGATCCCCGAAGACCTGGAAGAGCTGTAGCCACACAGCTACTAATAGTGCTAGGTTGCTGAACATAATTTATCGGTCCGGAAAATACTGTTTGAAACCTTCACAGAAAGTACTATAGAAAATACTGACTTTTAACACGAGCAAGCCTTTTGTTTGTTTGTTTGTTTTTGTTTCAAAACGGGGGACTAAGTCAAATATAGTTACTGAATTTACAGATCTCCCACTGCCGAGGGCAACCAAAACCACTTTGTGGATGCTTCTGAAGAAACTCCTTTTTAAAAACTCTCTAAAGGGCCACACGTGAAGGAAGCACATCGCCAGTTCTTGGAATGAGTCATCTCCTGGGTGTGGGGTGTCCCCAGAAGCGCAGACACCCGCGAGGACAAAGGGGCAAGGGTTCTACCTGGGACGAGAGAAGGCGGCAAAACCTTCCGCCCGCCAGCACCGGCCCCGGGCTGCCTCGATCTCCCGGGGGGCACCTGCGGGCGAGAGCAGACGGAGGGGCGGCTGAAGGAAGCTGGCTTAGGCCGGCTAAAGACCGAGCTCGGCTCCTCCGCTTGCGACCCGGGCCCGCGCCGCCGCCCCCTCACCCCACACCTGCCAGCGCCCGCCCGGCCCGCCCTCCGCCCATTGCCCCGGCGGCAGCCCTGGGGATGAGCGACAGCCCTAGCCCGTCTCAAGCAAGGATACGAAGTAGACAGAGAGGAAGATAAGCGCGCAACAGTCGAGGAGCGAGAAGAGGAACACCACCGCCTCCATCCTCCGCCGCCGCTCCTCCCGTCAAACCAGCTCCGGGCCGCGCCGCGCCGCCGGGACAGGCGGCATGCCGGGAGTTGTGGTCCAGGAAAGGCTCCTCCCGGCGCGATGCATGATGGGAAATGCAGTTTGCTATTCTCCCCGCTCCCCCCCCCCCCCCTAATTCCCCGCCGAGGGGAAGGGGAGGCTGGTAACCCGCGGACACTAATAAGGAGTTACTCACCGTGTGTGAAATTTGTGTTTCTTTTACTTTCCATCCATCCACCATTGTTGGTTTCGGGGGGAATGGGCTTTTTTTCTTCCCCCGGTGGTAGGGGCTCACCCTGTAGCCCAGGCTGACCTCTAATTTGGGTTTACAGGCTTGCGCCTCCACACAGGGCCGCTTTAGTGTCTGCTCGCTACTCACCTGCATCCTACAACGTCTCATCTCAAATACAAATCCAGTCTTACCACTGCTGGCTTCAGTCCCTGACCTGTTCCCCCAGAGCCTGCCCAGCTGCTTGCCTATTCTCGGTTACAACAAGCTTTCCCATCTCTGAATCTTAAAATCTTCACAAGGATCCGGGGTTTTACTCAACCGTTCATTCTCTTAGCAAATAGTTCTGATGACACCCCTACTGTAAACCGAGAGCTGTCTTACACTTCAAGTGCAGAAATGAACGGAACAAACAAGTGCTCTGGGGGGCGGTAATAAGGCAATAAGGTAGCAATTAAATACTGAAAAAGTACTTCAGTGGGTGACAAGCCTTTAGAAGCCAATTACTCACGCATCCATTTGTTTAACTTGTGTTTTATGAACAGTCTACAAGGCACTGCACTGCTCTAGGCCTCAGAGGTACAAGGAACAGAGACTGAGTGTGCCACCAAGACTGCAGCTTGCATGGGAAGGGTGGGGGAGACAGAAGGTAAGCAGTATAGATTGAAAGCACTTCTAAGCACTGTGAAGGGCATGAGGAAACACCTGAACACCAGCCGAGACCAGGCTGAGGAACTCACACAGCACTGAAAACAATAGCATTGGGAGATTTGCAAGGATCAAAAAAGTTTAAGAAATTGAGTTTTAAGAAGTCAAAGGAAGCCGGGCAGTGGTGGTGCACGCTTTTAATACCTGCACTCTTGGAGGTATGGCCTGGCTTACGAGAGCTAGTTCCAGGACAAGCTCAAAGCTACAGAGAAACCCTGTCTCAAAAACAAACAAACAAACAAAAGCAGGACAAGGTCACATGCACCTTGAAAACTTTTTGTGTGTGGGAGGCGATTAGCTTTCTGTAATTTTTTTACATTTCTTAATGTAGTGTATTTATGACTCGGTAGGTGCCCACGTGGAGGCCAGAACTAACACCTGTAGGAGTTAGTTCTCTCCCTCTCCCACGTAGGTTCTAGGGACAGAGCTCGCACTGTCAGGCTTGGCCGCAAGCCTCTTTGCTTTCTGAGCCATCTTCTCAGCCTATTTAACTTTTACCTGAAAAACCACCCAAGAGCTTTAAGAGAAGTACCTTGATCAGATTTACTTTAAAAATATATTGTTATGGCCATTTGGTGTATTAAATATGTGAAAAAGCAGAACGAGTTTGTCAGTAAGAAGTTCACTTAAGAGAGAAGCTTGATAAGAGCATTATAAGGAAGCCAAAACAAACTGGATTTGCCTCACAATGTCGCAAATCCATAGACTCATTAAGGGTTCATAGGTCAAAACTACAAGTACAGTTAAGATTTCTGTACCAGATTATCACTTTGCTCCCACTGGACCTTGCCCATGCCTCTATCAAATCAGCTCTCTAACGTGTGTGTTAGTGTCTGTGAGGCACTGTTCTAGGCCTTAGAGATGCAAGGAACAGATATGGAAGGTGCCCACAAGACTGTACCTTGCAGGGGAAGTGTTGGGGGAGACAGAAGGTAAACAGTGTAGATTTAAAGCACTTGGAAAGGCAGGAGGAAACACCTGAACGCCAGCCGAGACCAGGCTGAAGAACTCACACAGCATTGAAAATAGCATTGGAGATTTGCAAGGGATGGAAAAAGTTTAAGAAATTGAGTTTTAATCAAAGGAGGCCAGGCAGTCCTGGCACAGGCCTTTAATCCCAGCATTCAGGAGGCAGAGGCAGGTGGATCTCTGTGAGTTTGAGGCCAGCCTGGCTGGTCTATGCAGTGAGTTCTAGGGCAGTCACTACACAGAGAAACCCTGTCTTGAAAAACCAAAAAAGAACCAAAATGGGCGGGGCCTGGAGGACCTGGGTTCCATTCCCAGCATGGAGCCTCACATCTGTAACCCCAGTTCCAGGGGATCTGATGCCTTCTTCTTGTCTCCTCAGGCACTGCATGCATATGATGCTCATACAGACTTGCAGGCCAATCACCCACACACTTAAAAAAAACTAAAAAAATTAAAAAATAGGTTTGGAGAAGTCAAAGGCAATCAAATATGCATGCGTAGCCAGTCATTCCCCACATATGACAAAAGGCAGCATATCGTGTTGGGTTTTGTACTCCTAGTACCTTCACTGTAAATAACTAGTGCTTAATAAAATAACTACAAATGAACATCAGAAGAGACTTCGTTAAAAACAAACCCGGGGCTGAAGAGATGGCTCAGAGCTTAAGTGCCCGTGCTGTTCTTCCAGAGGACCAGGGGTTGACTGCCAGCACCTACACGGTAGCTAACAAGTATCTAGAGTTCCAGGGGATTTGATGACTTCTGGACTCTGGGAGCACTGCAGCATGCATGGTGCACAGACATAGATGCAGGCTGTAGTTGGACTTTCCCTTGGGTGGCCAGTTCACAAATAACAACACAGAGACTATTATTAATTATGAAAGCATAGCCTTAGCTTAGGCTTTTTCCCAACTAGGTCTTATAACTTAACCTGTTTCTATTAATCTATGTTGTCATATGGCTTGGTTACCTCTCCTCTGTACTGTATGTCTGACTTGTTCCTGGTCTCAATGGCATCTCCTGCAGGTTTGGATTCTAACCCTGAGTTCCTCTTTTTCCCACCTAATTTCTCCTGTCTAGCTATTGGTCATTCAGCTATTTATTAAACCAACCAGAAGGTGCCTTAGGCAGAGACACAGCTTCACAATGCAAACAAATATTCCACAACGTTTCCCACTTTTTGTCTAATCAAAAAAGAAAGATTTTAACTCTAACATAGGAAACTACATACAATAAGAACAAGTATCAGGTAAAAACTATATTCACATTGTCCAGTCCATTTGTATTTGGCAAATTCAGAGAAAATACTTTAATTTATTTTTTCTTGGTGAGTCCAAAGTTTTATACCCAATTTAGTTTCTATCATAACTAAAGAAAACTGTAACTATAGTGTTGTGGTATATTGTACATTGTGAAGATGTATCTTTGCCAAGGCACCTTCTGATTGGTTTAATGAAGAGCTGAATGGTCAACAGCAAGGCAAGAGAAAATAGGCATGACTTCCGGGCAAAGAAAGGAACTTGGGATGAATCTAGGTCCACAGAAGAGATGTCAGCAAGATTCAAAAAAGTCAGACATATGTTACAGAGGACAGGTAACTGAGTCACATGGCAAAACATAGATTTAAAAAAAGTTATTTTAAGTTAAAAGAGCTACTTGGGGAAAAGCTTAAGCTAAGGCCAAGTCTTAATAATTAATAATAAACCAGGCTGTAGTGGTATACACCTTTAATCCCAGCAGTCTGGAGTCAGAGGCGGGTAGATCTCTGTGAGTTCGAGGCCAGTCTGGTCTACAGAGCTAGTTCCAGGAAAGCTAAAGCTATTACATAGAGTAGCCCTGTCTCAAAAAACCAATAATAATAATAATAATAATAATGTCTGTCTCATTATTTGTGAGCTGGCAGACCAAGGAAAGTCTGACTTTAGGAGGTAAAATACCATATACACAAAATAAAAATAAATGTTTTCAAAAATATAAACAAAATAAGACCTGCCTGGGCTGGCAAGATGACCAACTGGGTAAAGGCACTTACCTCTAAGTGTGAAGCCACATAGTGGAAGGAGAGAACCATCACCTCTGGAGGACCTCTGTCCTCTCTAAGTGTGCCATGGGACATACAGTGACACATGCATTGAGTGCATGCACACACTCACAAATAAACAAATGTATTTAAAACTGGAAGCTGGGGAGATATTCTGGTAGCAAAGACCACTTGTTCTTGCAGAGACCCACACTTCCGGTCCCAGTACTCATATCAGTGCACTGGTGGCGCATGCCTTTAATCCCAGCACTCAAGAGGCAGAGGCAGGCGGATCTCTGTGAGTTTGAGGTCAGCCTGCTCTACAGAGTGAGTTCCAGGATAGTCAAGGCTACACAGAGAAACCCTGTCTCAAAACATAAAAAACAAACAAACAAACAAATAAAAAGAAGCAAAATCTGGGGACAAGTGAGATGTCTCAGTGGTAAGAGCACTAGCTGCTCTTGTAGAGGACTGGGGGTTAGTTCCCAGCACCTACAGAGCAGCTCAGACTCATCTGTAACTTTAGTTGCAGAGGATCCAACAGCCAGACACTATAGCGCAAATTCTAATGGGTATTAGTAATAAAAACCCAGAGTCAGAGACAGGCAATGGTGGTGCATTTAATCCCAGCACTCAGGAGGCAGAGGCAGGCAGATCTCTGTGAGTTTGACCTGGTCTACCAAGCAAGTTCCAGGACAGCTAGGGCTGATATAT